CAAAAAATATTTACTTCAGTTAAGTAAATAATTTCATTTAAAATGAAAAATAGTTTGATAAAGATTAAAAAAGTAGTATAACAAAAATAAACAAGATTTTTTTTTTATTAAAAATGCAGAAACTTTTTTAACTGAAAGAAAGTTTTAACTAAAAAAAATTTTTTAATTGAATTAAAGTTCATTTAGTTCTTATTAACAGATACTTTTATGTTAAAAAAGCACTCTTTTTCTCTCCTCTCCTCTCTCTCCTCTCTCCCTCTCTCTCTCTCTCTCTCTCTTTACCGATTACCGATAACCATTTATTTATTTTTTTATTTACTTATTTTAAAAAATAAGTTTTACAGTTTCCATTTATAACATACAATAATATCTGGAAATAAGTACCTGAAGAGAGTTCTGAAAACCTCATAAGACATTATTGTCTTCAGAACACTCGGATACTTTAAACCAGAGCTTAGCCGGTGTTGCACATTTCGATTTTCGACTTGCTCCTTCTAGCGTTATTCCCCTTACCATCCCGTACGTAACCTAGCCGTTTAAGATTTAGGAGTGTATGGCTTGTAAATATATGTTTCTAATAGTAGCTATCTACTATATATCTATCTAGTAGTTTTTCACTATTAGAAAAATATATGTTTACAAGTTAAATGAATAAATATAATTACTTTATTTCAGTCTAAAATTTTTACAAAAAACTTCAATTAAAATAAGGTAAACATATGATGTATCATAAAGTAAGGCATGCATATGACATATATACAGTAGTATATATGGTGAGTTACAAAACGGTCTGGACGCATTTCGAACACTGAAGTTGCAGCGCTTGAAGATGTCAAAATTGAGACGCATTTGCGTATGAATCGGTTATGACAGAAGTCGAAGTGACAGTACAAGGTGTATTATTAACACATTAACATGCTATCACGTTATCTTATATTTATTTTCACACTCTGTACTGTTACTTCTATCATAACCGATTCGTACGCAAATGTATCAACAGTGCTTCTCAATTTTGACATCTTAAAGCGCTGCAACTTTAGCTCGAAATGCATCCAAATCGTTTTGTGTCTTATAGCAAATTCAGTAGCTTGCACTAGTGCGCACTAAGGCTTGTTTACAGTACATTCTTATATTTAAGATCGTATCTTAAATACATATTTAAAAACATTTTAGCTAATAAAATGATTCGTACGGATGTTATCCGTACGAATCATTTTATATATCATAATATATATCATAATATATATCATATTACTAGTCAAAAATATTTGAAAATTTATTTAAAATAATCTTTATTTAAGATAATTTTATATACTTTATCTTTATCTTTAAATATAATAACATACTATGAACAAGCCTTAGTACGCACTCAGTACGCACTAGTGCAAGCAACCGAATTCGCTATTAGTGTACATTAAATTGCAGAATTTAGACACATTTTTTCCAATAAAGTTAGGAGAACATCAAATGAGAACTCATAAGTTTATATAAGAACGTTATTATAGAAACTAAAATAATAATATGTGAGACGTTATAACTGCAACGGAGAATTTAGGAGAAAAACATAATTATTTTTTATTTATTCTTATCTATCAGATAAGAGTATAATAAAAGATCAACATTTATACTATTTTTTTATTATTTTGGTTCCTGTCATAACCGATTGCTGCGCAAACATTAGCAGTAGCTCGTAATTAATTTAGAGTGATATTTAACTTAACTAATTTCATTGGAAAAGAATGTATTTAAATAGTTTTGCAACCGAATGGACTGATTTCGATATTACAGTAGCAAGACAATTTTATGATTTTACTATTTCGAGAAATTTATACTTTAGTATTTGAATTTTCAATATTTTAGTGAAATTTTATTTGAGAAGATTGTCCGGTTTGGGGGGGGGAGTTATAAGTTTTTCCTGATACGTTTCGTAAAAGGTGATGCGTTCTCAAAATATTCGTGAATTGACAACGTTATCGGTGTAAAATATTAATATTTATTTATAATTTGGAACAACTTGATATACACATACATATACGAAAGAAGACCTTATCTTACCAAAATTAGTTGCGTTTTATTTATTCATTATTCATTATTACGTGTTACACACGTGAGTCAAGAGGTGCGAAATTCGACGCAGTAGATGACATGTTACGATTAGACCCGCTGTTGCTATCAGCAGCGTGATTTCGCAAAAAGTAAATAATGTCAAAATAGATTCATCATCATATGTCAAAAAGTAAATAATTCAAACACTATGAAACAAGACCGACGACAACAACGAATGTCGTTTCGGGGCACAAGCGACCGCAAGGCCGCGTTGTCTCCCGACGACGAATAAATGTTCATCTAACGAGTAGATATCGATGCCAAGATATTTCCGTCCGCCGCATAAATACTCCCGAGGAAATATTCTTAGTCTTTTATCGCGTTTGAGCGTTCATCGCGCCAATCGAGCGGTCAATCTAGTTGAAGTAGATGCTCGCATTCTTTCCGGTGAACGATAATACACAATTAATTCTCATAAATCAAATAATACGCAATGAATAATTTAAAGAGAGTTTATGTACAATTTAATCTGCAGAATCTTTGGAAAAGATATAATATGTTAGATATAGTTATTATTAAAATATTATGTAAATATATAGTTATAATTCACCAATAATACGTAATAAATAATTCTTCGATAATTCATAAATATATAATTTATCACACACACACACACACACACACACACACACACACACACACACACACACACACACACACACACACACACACACACACACACACACACACACACACACACACACACACACACACACACACACACACACACACACACACACACACACACACACACACACACACACACACACACACACACACACACACACACACACACACACACACACACACACACACACACACACACACACACACACACACACACACACACACACACACACACACACACACACACACACACACACACACACACACACACACACACACACACACACACACACACACACACACACACACACACACACACACACACACACACACACACACACACACACACACACACACACACACACACACACACACACACACACACACACACACACACACACACACACACACACACACACACACACACACACACACACACACACACACACACACACACACACACACACACACACACACACACACACACACACACACACACACACACACACACACACACACACACACACACACACACACACACACACACACACACACACACACACACACACACACACACACACACACACACACACACACACACACACACACACACACACACACGTACACGCATTCGCACATGCGTAACACACGCGCACCCGCGCGCACACACACACATATATAAGAAATTTAATAAATAATTTATCATTATTTTATAAATAATTCATAAATAATAAATAGATAAGGTATTGTTAAACTTTATATTAAATTCTACGTTTAACTTTTCTAATAAAATGCCATTGTTTTTCAATCTTCACTTATTTTTGAATTGTTATCATAATGCATAAATAAATAAATTTTGATACTCTGTTATATTTGTTTTTACTTATTTATTTAATTAATTAAATTTTTATTATTATTTTATCCATTTGTTTTCCCTATTTATTTTGTCTATTTATGTACTTGTTTAGATATTTATTTATTTATTTATCCATTCGTATTTATATCCATGTTCGATAAAAATTTTGTTTTTGATATTATTTATATCTTTCTTATTAAAATTATAATTATTTCTGTCCTCGCGCGTGTTACTTCATTTCCACACTATATTATTTTTACTATATTACACTTTCACTATGTAACAAAAAGTTTCTATCATTAATAAATAATTATTATATATAATAAATATTAGATAAATAATCATCTCATAATTCATAAATTTGATAAATCATCAAATTTGTGTAAATTTAATAGTAATAATAGAATAAGAAGTTCGAAATAAAACATTTATGATATGTAAATTATTATTATTATTTCGTTATCATTATTAATATATATTTTTATGGGTATTGATATTTTCAAGTAACTGCTTGTTACGGCCAAAGGTTCATTCCTAATTCGCCTTGTCGCACCGTAATTGTTTGAGTAACGGCTCATGAGTCATCTTCGTTCAATGACATATGCACTATCATAAATTTATATTTCTCAAAAGTACATCATATTTAGCACTATACTTAGTATTATACATTACCCAAAACAAATAAATAAATTAAGTAAAATTATTTTTAAAGATGAAGAACATGTATTGTTTATTCAATTGCCTTATCCAAAATGCTCCGTAAATTATGCATACACGTAATTTATAGCACGAATCGACAATACACATTCCAAGTTAAAATTGTCGCAACATATGTAATCGGACATCAATTCGCACCAAATGTAAAAATGCTTGCGCTTCGATCAATTCCCTCGCGGTCTTAACTGACTATCAATATTCGCTGTACTCACTATATTTTCAAAATCACCTGAGAGTATCTTGTTTCGATTCAAAGCAAATGGAGATATCAGGAAACACGCGTCCTCGAGACGCGAATCGCGGCTGTTACAGCGGTGTCAAGTCAGGTCAGGTTATAGTTAAGCAGAACGGATTTATCGAGGCACAGGGCGTGGTTTGTGCTGGACAACGTGACGTTCTGCGTGGTCGAGGCGGTTGATGACGCATGGCGTCGCACGCGCGGCAACTCGCGTGGTATGATGAGGAACTGTGTGGAACGACAACGACGGCGACCGTCATTCGGCCGATCATTCGGGTGAATCGAAGAAATTCGATGGAATCAATAGCCGGTGTAATGATCATGACATTTTATTCAAGGCGTAAGAACAACATACAACGACACGATCCTTATCGTACCACCGCGACGTCCTGCGTGCTGTAATAATGCAACTACCAACGTATCGAATGGAGAAAAAAGCATGAATAGAATACTGACCTCGGTGGCTAGCTTCCCCTTGGACGCCATCTTGACAACAAGCCGGTGGCGCTCGGACTTGACCGACTACCTGCTCGCCTCCTGCTACTCCAACTACCTGCTGCGCGCGTGTCGCGCGTGCTTCTCACGCTGGATTGTTTCCGATGCCCTGATCTCCCACACACTGAGTACCGTGTACTACTAATCCGTCCGTCTGCCCGTACGCTCTTTCGTTCGTTTATGCGTGCGTGGCACACGCGTCGACCGATCGCGCGCAACTCACTGACTTCCGTGTACGACCGAAACGCGTCGAGCGCGAGCTCCAACGCGACGCTCGCCTCACCGTGAGAGAGAAAAGGAAAGAGAGAGGCAGAGAAGGAGGGACAGAGATCGAAATACTGTGGTTCAACAGCAGGAGGAAAGAGGAAAGCAGGTGGGGCAAAGGAGAGAGCGAAATACGTACGTGTTTTGACGTCACGCAGCACACGATGCGATTCTTCGCGTCTCGCGATTGATAAGAATATATACGAATGCGACGATACCATATGTTCGCACAAAGTCTTGTTTGAAGTCATGCGATGATAAAAGCTGTAATAGAGCTGAATAAGAAGCTAAGATGCGTGCGCTGATCTCTCTCTCCTTCTCTCTCTCTCTCTCTCTCTCTCTCTCTTTCTCTCTTTCTTTCTCTTTTAGTACCCGCCATCTTGTTGCGTTTGTAGTGTGTGTGTGTGTGTGTGTGTGTGTGTGTGTGTGTGTGTGTGTG